AAATATGAACCCCCAAGAAGGAACTACTATGGGGAACTACTATGGGGCCTATGGGTAGGGCCGGGTAGGGATTACAGCTACGGTGTAGGTCGGACGTATGGAGGGTCGAAGCCGCTTAGAGTCGCAGTGATCTCCTACGAAATGGGCAAGAGTTGGGCAAGACTACACTCAGTCATGATCGTGCCAACGAGGGACGTTCTAGTCCTGACGTGTATTTGGGTGTGTATGCTTCATGTAGGATTAATTGGATGATACGATCCTCAAAGAAGCAAGCAAACCCCAAGCCGAGAGCCAATCTCACAGCCTCCGAGGTGCTTTACTCACCTACTAAATCCTTGCAGGAGGCTTGCTGTCACAAGTGATAGGAGAAACTGCAGCTCTCTCTCTCTACAGAAATTAAAAAAAGCTTGTGGACTTGTTTGGCGGCCGTGTTCTTGCCACCTTTTCCAATCAAGCCAAATTAACGGCTGCCAAGACAGGATTTTAATACATCGGTTTTACGTACATGTAACGGAGGATCCCAAAATCAGTTGGACACAGAAACTCTAAACTCAAGATCCCGAACCCTGATGATCAAAATTGGGTCTTGGTGGTTTCCATATATAGTACACTACATTCAAGAACCCATAGAATAACATTCCCCATTCATTCCCCTTACATGCCCTTAAGCCTCAACCGTTAAAACCCTCGCAGACAGGCCTCTTGCAGAAGGCGCATGAAAGCCTCCGGGTTCTCCTGTATTGCCTTCCACAGGCGGCTTAAAGGTGAAAGTGCGGTAGGGTTTAGGGTTTACGGTTTTGGTTTAGGGTTTAGGGTTTAGGGCTTAGGGTTTCGGGTTTAGGTGCGAAAGGGATTTGGGATCTTGAACATTTAGGGTCCAAGGGGCGTAGGAACTTAAGGTTTTTTTTTTATGAGCACCTTTTTCCTCCTGCTGTCAGCCGTCGGAAAGCCTCGGGAGGCAGGTGAGAAAACAACCCCTCAGGACCATAGTACGCACCATCCGTGATCCCGTACACATAGTTCAGCCCTCTGGTGTGTCGTGTCCCTCCGATTGTTCATCTTGAGTTTGTGTCTCTGCATCACCGTCCATATCGTCATGTTCCGAGAGCCATTGCGCCAGAAACCCTGTCATGATCTCATCCCCGTAGCTCGCTCGGACTTCACTGTCAGAGCAACCACCTGCAGACCACACCCTGTATGCCATCTCCAGCTCATCCTCGTCCGGTGGGGCTCGGTCATTCGTCGTGGGGCAGAGAGCATCTGTCCGTTCCGGAGCTGTTGGTGCCGTTGGGGTCTCCGGTCGGCCAACCTCCCCCATCTCCAGTGTCAGTCTGAACCCGCCTTGACGGAGTCGTGGAAGCTCACACTCGAAGACCTGTACCGAGGGGGCAGCCGAAGAGGAACTCGATGTCATTGGTCCCATTGCTTCTGCCACAATGCGGAGGCGCTGTCGCTTCGGCACAGCCGGGGGAGTGTGGAGTACCTCCCATTGTTCCCAGTCTCTGTATCGAGCAGCTTCGTGCGACGCGTAGAGCTGGTTCGCCATCTTTTCTTGTTCTGCTTCCCAGGCGATCTCTTCCATCTCATGCTCTTGTTGTTGTTGTTCACGGGCCGCCCTTTCACGCTGTAGTGCTGCCCGTTCCTCTTGTTCCTCCTGAAGATCCTCATCCGTAGGCCCGTCGTCGGTCTTCCGGCGTTTTGTCGTAGTCCAACCCTGCTGCATGTAGACCGTCTCCTCGTCTTCCTCTTCCTCCAGGTCGACAGACACCAAGAACGTCGCCTGGTGGGTCTTAAGGTTTAGAGTTTAGGGTTTGCAGGGAACCCTAAACCCTAAACCCTAAACCAGGGCCCTCAGGATCTTATAAGGTCCCCTTGCCCCAGTTCGGAAGAGCCCCGAACTTCACGTGGGAGAAACACTGGTCAGCACACAAAAACTGGAACATCCTGAACCCTACCTTAAGCCAGGACCCCCCAAGGGCCCTTGAATAGAGCCTTTGTGGTCCTGAATAGTGGGTATTTAGGGTATATTAGAGGGTACTTGGGGGCTTTAGGAGCTACCAAAACTTGTACTTTTCTTGCAGGTTCCGGTGATAAACCCCAACATGGGGTTTATAGGGACCCTACAAAAAGGTTCCCCTCCGAATCCGTGAACGACCGCTTAAGGCCGAAGTTGACACGATGATCTTTCAGTGTCCCTAAACCCTAAACCCAAAACCCTAAAGCAAGGACAGGTCCGCCGTGGATGGGTTGAATTCAGCAGTAGCCACTAGGGGCCGGGGTTTAGGGTTTAGGGTTTAGGGAGGGCCGGCGTCTTGTCCTTGAAGGCGGGCTGGAGCGCGCAGTACTGGACATATTGCAGCCACAGCTGCAGCGCTCGGTGCGCGATCACCGATGGATTATGCAACGAAGTTAGTGTAATAGAGGGTTCAGGGTTTAGGATTTAGAAATGAGGGTTCAGGGTTCAGGGTTTAGAAATGAGGGTTTAGGGTTTAGGGTTTAGTGATGAAGGTTTAGGGAAGTAGGGTTTAGGATTCAGGGTTTAGGGTGTAAGACTGAGGGTTTAGGGCTTTAGGTTGAGGGTTTAAGGCAGTTTAAGGTGTAGGGTTTAGGGTTTAGGTTCTGATCAACCCAGAGACTCCAAAACCACTTTAAGCAATATACCTTAAGTCTCAGTAGGGCTCCTGTTACAATCTGAAGTACATTCCTCAGTTAAGGAGGTTTTGGGGTCTTTGAGAAGGCCACAGCTCCTGGCGGGTA